CGGTTTCCCCCACAGTCCAAACACATGCGCTATAGGGGAACTGATCAACTAAATTGGCCATAGTGTATGAGTGAGTGTGTGTGTGTGTGTGTGTGTGTGTGTGTGTGTGTATATGTGTGTCTCTCTCTGTGTCTCTCTGTCTCTCTCTCTCTCTCTCTCTGGCGGTCAGTGCAGTGTAGGCCAGTAATACTCTGACTTCATCTCATTCCCTGCCACTATACCAGTAAGCAGCAGTTACTCTCTGATCTTTCTCATGGTGAAAGACACCTGCTGTACGGTGAGTCAGAGCAGTTTCTGACTGAGAATCATCGACACACACACACACACACCCACACACACACACTCTCAGCGAACACCCACACGGCTGTAATCTAGGTGCTGTGTGAAAGCAGTACTACATGTGTGTCAAACAGAAACCCGTCAGAAATCTCCTGAAAGAGCTGCGTTTACCATAAGTGAGCGTTTGAGGAGGAAGGTTATGAGTAGGTGTATGACACACACACACACACACACACACACGCACACACACTGTAATCATGGCCGAGCGATGTTGTTCTTCCACACTGCAAAAGCATGCTGTTCTTACTCAGAGCTTCTGTCTTGTTTTCAGTCCAAATATCTCAAATCTCTCAAATCATGAAGCGTTTTCTAGACAAGCGAAACATAATGGGTTGTTTTAAAAAATAATGAGTCAAAATTAAGTGAGTTTCTCCTTAAAACAAGCAGAATAATCTGACAATGGAGTAGGAAAATAATCAATTTTTTCCTTCTGACACACTCTGCGTCCCCCACTGGCAGATTACCGTGCTTGATTTAAGGAAAACTCTCTTCATTCTTAAACCATATCCAGCATATGTTATAGTTACACACACACTCTCCACAGACCACTCATCAGATATGGAGTTAGGATCAGGGTGTGAATATAGGGGTGTTTCGCCCCCCTGATTAATGGATGATCCCCGAAGGTCGTCAGAACAAGATGTATATGTGTATAAAATATCAAAAAATAGATATGATTATAAATATGGGCGTCAGGATGGCACAGTGGGTGGCACGATCGCCTCACTGCAAGGTTTGAGTCTCGGCTGGGTCAGTTGGTGTTTCTATGTGGAGTTTGCATGTTCTCCCGTGTTGGCGTGGGTTTCCTCCGGGTGCTTCGGTTTCCCCCACAGTCCAAACACTATAGAGGAACTGATCAACTAAATTCAATCCAGGCTCATTCTGGAATTGTAGCCCAACGGATGTTCCTGGAGGCCGCAAAATTGATCCTGGGAGGTACATATTTGTGCAGATTTTGTTTTCGTGAATCCACAAGAGGCCGCTGTGCGTGCTTTTTTGCGTCTTGAATGCTTCTCACGAGCACCATTCACGATGTTCTCGTGTAAAGCCACAGGAGGCCACTGTCGAGCGTCCGACTGACTGACTGAATGACTGAACGATTGACTGGGCAGCCAACCAATCGGCCGACCCACCCTCCTCCTCCTCCTTCCCTAAACCCAAGCAACGATTTATTAAAGCCGTCCAGAAAAAAGAAACGCCCTCGTCTGATTTTGACGGCGTTTACGGATTTGACCGCTTTCTTACCCTGTTATAAACTCGTTCATAACATTTAGTGTTTTTTTCGGATTTTGTCTTACCTGATTTCTAGAACCGATCTTCCCCGGACTCGAACCCGGTTATTGCAGCCGGTTCCCTTCCTGACTTCCGCTCCGCCGACATAACACGATGAGCTAACCGGACAAACTGGTTGTGGTGGGAAAGCCATCCACCAGAGTTGAGCCGTCAGCCGGTGAGCACGAAGAGGAGTGGCCTCACACCGGCCAATAGCATTCACTTCAAAAAACTAAATGCAGCCATACGTACCTCCAGCGGTAAATCGCGGTCTCTAGAAACATCCGCAGGGCTACGCTTTCAGAATGAGCTTGGGTTGACTAAATTGGCTTCAGTATATGAGTGTGTGTGTGTGTGTGTATGTGTGAATGAGTGTGTATGGGTGCTTCCCAATACTGGGAAGGACATTCACTGTGTAAAACATTGCTGGAATAGATGGCGGTTCATTCCACTGTGGTGACCCCTGATAAATAAGGGACTAAGCTGAAGGAAAATGAATGAGATCAGTGACATACATGATTAATAACCCTCTCTCTCTCTCTCTCTCCACAGAGTACACATCAGATATGGAGTACCAGAAGCCTCCTCTACCTCAGTACACATATTACCCCAAACACCCCTCGAACCCACAAAACCATCCCTGCGACACAAATAAAGACGACGAGGAACCTGAAGAGAAGATCGACATCGAGAGAGACACGCCGCCAGACACTCCAGACGAGCAAATAATGGACTTCAGCAAGAAGATCCACAAGTCAGAACCAATGCATGAAAAAACAAACATTTACCCGAGCCTGTCTCCACCGCAGGACGTCCCGCTGCATCTACACAGCCTGTACGGTCACCGAGAGGGTTTGATCTCCTCATATCCGTCAATACGGTCTCCATATCCGCTCTTACCGCAGTATAACCCTCATTACCAGCACATGCTCATTCCTCCATACTCTCCTCCGTTCACTTCAATGCTTCCCACAAAACCAGCCCACCGATACGGCTTCATGAATCCTGACGGTTTGTCCTATCCTTCAATACCACAGTCAGGTTTATTACCTGTATCTCTTCCATATCCTAACACACTCCACGGAGGATTAAACGAAAGGGGGCACAATACTCCCCCCAGAGGAGCGCCTGCAACGCCAGAACTTTCCCCTCAGACTTCTCCTTGCCAGACGCATTATTCTGAATGTGAAGAAGCCATAAATCTGAGTCTGACTACACCTAAGAGCACACCGCCTCCGTCAGCCTCTCCAGCCATGATTCCTGGGTATAAATCTCTCCCGTATCCACTGAAAAAGCAGAACGGGAAGATCAAATATGAATGCAATGTCTGTATGAAGACTTTCGGACAGCTCTCCAATCTTAAAGTGAGTACAATGTGTGTGTTTAAATGTGTTATATCACCTATTTTAAAAGTGAAGATATACTAAAGGTTAACTCTGTATTTATCTTGCTGAAGGCAAAATTATTTGTCAATAATAAAGGGAATAGAAGTGAACGTGTATTCTGAAAATGTTTTTAGATTTTTTAATATGTTTTTAATTTAATTTGTTTTTATTTGTACTGTTTTGTTTGATTTATTTTTGTTTGTTTGATTTATTTGTTATCAAATAATGTTTGTTTTATATATTTTTTGTGCTGTTTTGTTTCTGTTTTTGTTGTTTTTATTATTTTTGTTCATTTTTTACTTGATTTTTTTTATTTTTTTATTTTTTTATTTGTAGTATTTTGTTAAATTTTTTGTTTATTTTTTATTTATTTTAATTTAATTGAACTTTAATTTATGTGATAACATTTTTATTTTATTTTATTTTTTATTATTGAATTTATTTATTTATTTTTATGTATGTATTTATTTATTTGTTTTAATTTAATTTAATTTAGTTTAATTTAATTTAATTTAATTTAATTTAATTTAATTTAATTTAATTTAATTTAATTTAATTTAATTTAACTTTATTTTCACATTATTTTTGTTATATTTTTTTTTTTTTACTTTTAGTTTATTTTCTCTCTTTTGTTTATTTTTTTATTTATTTTAATTTAATTTCACTTTTTTCTTTTTAATTTAACTTAATATTTTTTGTAATTTAATAAATTGTTTGTTATTATTTTTATTTTATTATGTATTTATTTTGTTATTATTATTTTATATAATTTATTTTTCACTTTATTTTTATTTTTTTATTTGTACTATTTTGTTTAATTTCTTTTTTGTTTATTTTTTATTTATTCATATATATATATATATATATATATATATATATATATATATATATATATATATAAAAAAAAAAAAAAAAAAATATAAAAAAAAAAAAAAACCACACAAAAAAAAACAAAA